AGGAATAGCCAGAGTAGTGTCCTTGGAAACAGGGGTTGACACACACACACACTCTTTGTGGCACCAGAAGCTATGTCTCTCCTGGACAAGGCTTTGGTCGATGCCACCGTTGGCGGCGAAAAGCTTCAACAATCCTCGGTCGGTCCCAGCGCCTCATCCCGGCGGTCAACCGAACGGTATGACATGACGGCTCATCACTACTCACTACTCCCTTACCCCCCAGGGCGGGGTCAGGCACGCTAAGGAGGTAGTGATCAGCAGTTCTTAGCATTTGACCCATACCAGGGTGGCTTGGGTGGTTTAGGGCGGCTCTGGGCGTAGCTTCCGTGAGTCACAGGATTTATCGCAGCCGGGGACTTTCTAATCCTTGTGGATTGGACTTGGTCCAGTCTGGGAACAGGTTGTTGGTTGAACTGACTGTTGCTGCTCTATCTGAGTCGGAAAATCGTGAGTTGATCGCTTGGACATTTATGTTTGCGTAGCTTTGCTACGCAGCATCTTTCTTCTGGTTTCTACAACTTTGAGACACATCAACTAGAAAGTGCTTCCCCACCGTCGATGTACCAGCTCCGGTGTTCAAAGGCCATGGCTTTCCATCCCGAGAAAAACGAGCGAATCAAAGACCATGTGACTGACGAAGGCGGACGATTCAAAGTCCACCAAAATCGGAGCCACCTGCGGAGTCGCTTTTTGCACGGTTCTGCACGGTGACGGTCGACCGAGGCTTATGAGAACCTGGAGGCTGAGACACATCGGGGTCTTCAGGGTCCAAAAATCAAGTCCTTTCTCTTTCACTGTTCGCTTCTTCCATGCACTGCTTCTTCACTTGAAGGTCTGCATAGGTCTACCAGGGTCTACATCATACCACGTCCCAAATTTGACCTCATGCTTGTGCCGCTGCAAACGTGGGCAGGGTGGCTCAACATCACCTCTACAAACTCAACCAACTTAGAGATAACCCCAAGGCACGAACTGGGAGCTCTCTGCGAAGCTGACGGAGAAAAGCAAGAAACCTGCATCAAATATGGGCATAAACATAATTAGATGGGCAAGCCATAGCAAGCCCAAGCAACTACTTCAAGGATATTGCACAAGACATGCAAGGAACCAAGTCTTGAAGCTTGGAGCAAATATTCCCTTGGCCATTGGGATTGGGTGTTCGCGGATGTCCGACGTCAATTCTGATGCGGACAACATCAACACAGATCCGTTCACTTGTAGAGGAAGGAGGCAAGCTTGCCTAGGAGTCTGGGAGCCCTCACTTTGATACCAATGATCTGTTCCGAACTGCAGGATTGACGAAGGGCTCTCTTTCACCCTTCGACCTCAGACACCGAACCCTTTAGGATTGACGGCGACATGCTGTCCGTGAATTCGGGGGAACCCACCCCAACGCTGGTCCGGCCTTGGCCGCGGCCTGCCGGAAGAACTCCGAGGAGTTGAACTGCACCTGGGGCGGTGTCCCACCGCGAAAGTGCGCGCCGACGGTGCGCCGACACGGACACGGCCCTGATACGGCCGGCGACGGTGTCAGACGGGGCAGGACCGATTGGAAGGACCGGAGGCCCGGCCCGGAGCGGTCCTAAGAGAAACAGACTTGGAACGGACGAAGGATTGAGATGGGACCAAAGGAAATTGGAAGGTTCTAAACTAGTAACAAGTGCCACGCTAGTAGTAACAAGTGCCTTACTAGTAGTAACAAGAAGCTACTAGAAACAAGTGCCTTACTACTAGTAACAAAAAGAATTTAAAGCATAAACATAAACATAAAGCCGGTCGGACCGTGAAAACACCGCAAATGGGGCAAATGGAACCACAACAGCTATTTCGACTCGACTTTGGCCAGTGTTTTATTTGGCAAATACTTTCAGCTACAAGCATGGCTGTTCCTTGCTCAGTCCACACGAAACACCCAGCTGACCTCAAAATGATGGGAAACCAACAAACTTGTGAAATGCACGATCGGATCACGGTAGAAAAAAAACAATAAAAGTACCATAAAGTACCCATACTTGGAGAGACCACTCTTGTCAACGGCTCGTTTCATCCCCATCCACCTAATACCCAAAGTTTCTGGTGTGGTTGTAAAGGGGTACATATATTTTAGTCGATCAATACTAGTCAATACTGTGTTTTAATATACACAATAATCCAAACAGTGAGGGCCCAGTCTGGTCCCTCAAGTCGAAACCAGGCACCGCATGGAACACCAAAGGGTAATGGCGACCTTGTGCGTTCTCCTGGAACACCAGGGTTTTCTGCAGCTCCAAAGTGAAAATGTTGATTTATTACCTCATTTAGGAAAGTGTTGGTATAAGATGTATCGGAAAAAGCTCGAAGAACATGACCGACATGGCGAAGAACATCTCCGACCGCCCGCGATCGACCGCGCACCCGTCCACGGGGTTGTGCCTTGGAGAAGGCCACCAGCATGGCTGTCAACATGGGCCTCACGCGGAGCCGAAAAGCACCGTCACCGGTTTTCTTTCGCAGGAGGCGCTCGCGGTTCCAAAGACTAAGTCTCAACCTGAAACACTGGAGACCCAGTTGCCCAAAGATCCTTCTGTTGATAGCGATCAGTGGGATAGCCTCAGAATTGCTCCAACATTCTGGCAACTTGTTGGTAGGAATTTTTGGTGTATGTATATATATATATAGGAAATGTTGAGCCTGGCTGATCTCAAGTTGGCTTTGACACCCTTCTGCAACCAATTCTTGTAAACAGGGTGCATCCACAAACTCCGAGACTTCTGGCAGCCATTGGCACTAACTCTCTGCGAGGTGTTTTGTAGAGTGTTTGGATGAGATAAATCCTATGAAATCCCGATAAAATTATCTACGGAATTGTATGACTGTAGATGTCTTGCTAGTATTAGTCTCACAAAGCAACTTGAGGTTGGTGTTGGCAGCTTTGGACCACAACTTTGGCAACTGCTCCTGTTCACCTGGGGGGGAGTTCCTTGCCTGTGGCCTCAAGCGTTTGGCAACATATTAACATATCTTGACATGCCCACAAAAGCCAAGCCATAAGCTGACCTTTGCGCCATGTTTGGACTTGGGGATATCGACAATGAATTCCAACATCATGCAACATCGCTAGGAATTGCTTCATCACACCTGCAAACACAAATAGAACAAACACTTGTTTAATTCCTATTCCTATATAGCCGCCTATACTTGTATAAACTCGACTTGTACCCGTTTTGAAGGCCCCAGCCCATTCGACACCAGCCGGCCTTCTAATACAAATCTTTGTCTTTGTCGTTTGATCCGTTGTCCGGTCTGTCTCGCCGACGAGTTTGGCCATGTTTCTTCATCTCCCCTCTGCATCCGCCCCAGAGATCCCAGATCGCGAGAGACCTTGGTGTGCCCAGTGACGCGAAAAAAAAAAACAGAGAACATCTCTGCGCCCAGTCACCCAGGTATTTCTTCCATGATGCGCAGGAACTCCGATGCGATGGCCTTTGACAAAGTCGCATTGGCCTCGTTTGGATGACGTGGAGGCGAGAAACGAGTTTCCCGAAGAAATGGCAACTCCAGAGGCCAAGGAGGCTTTTTGGAAGGAGTTCCGAGAATCCGCGAGATGTGAATTGAGGTAGTGGGGCGTGGGGCATGGAAAAACGACCAGTGAATGTCTGCAAAAAAGGCGTGGACGATATAGCGAATCTAATCCTCATCTGGACGAGAAAGCCCTCAGCCTCTAGCAGAAATGTGCAGAATACTCTAACGCGATATACCAAGATCAACAGTCCAACCAACCTGTCAAACCCATCAACCGACCTACCTAGTTACAAACCAAGAAGAGATGATCGGCTCCGCACATAGCGTGTCTGGCTGATAGCGAACACCAGCTTGGCCAAGGCCTACAATGGACCGCAGGTCAGGGAAGTTTGGCTCTTCAGGTGCTGGGCAATCTGGGATAATCTGGGTCGATAGCATCTTTGTAGTTCAATAAGCGTCTGCATGTGATAAAACTTGTGTAGTTCAATAAGCGTCTGCCCGTCTGCATGCGATAGAACTTGTGTTACTTATATACTTATATAGTTTCTGCACTTCAGATTCTGAACCCACTCCAGTCCCCTTCCACAGGAACTGTCCCTCCAGGTATGGGTCGAATCATGCCGAATCCCCTCAAGATGCTCCGCGACGAAATCCAAATGACATGCTCTTCGTCCTTAGGGCCTTAGGGTTCCATTTGGTTTTAGTAAGTTCCTCGAACTGCCAATGGGGGTTTGGGGAGACAACATAGTTTTGACTGACTGATGCTGACTACCTAGGAACTTGGAAACAGCGTGGACCGTCGAAAGGAACGTGGAAGGTGGTTCACCTACCTGTATGAAGCGGCTCACCAAACTTCTGACTGGTCCCCAAATGCGTTTCTCATCCACTACAACTCACTTTGGGACTCTGGGTGTTCCATGATTTTGTGCCAGACTGCACCACTTGAAGAATCCAAGCCTGACTCAGATTATTCATTCCTCCACTTTTGTTCCACAGCCACCGTGCCACGCCGCTGCCCTGCCCCTTTTCCACCAGATCCCAAACTTCCAGCCACATCTCTTGCCACTATATAACTATATATTTCCGCCACTGCCGATCCGCCAGTTCTGCGCTCAAAAGCACAACAATCACCAATCCCCCGGGCAGGTGCAACTCCCCCAGGCCCCCCCAAAAAAACCCAGGCCTTTGGCCTGAAAGCCTGCATGTTCGCGATGATATACTTGGAGGACGCCTGGTCGGAGCACAGACTTCGTGGGACTCGCTTGGGAACGGAGGATCGGGTCCGACCGGTCGGGTCCGGTGGTTGGACCGGGAAACTCCGGCGTTGGTTGGATTGGATCTTGGTACCTCAAGTACCTCAAGTTCCTCAAACTGCCAAGAAAGGTCCTTTTGTTCACGGTTGAATTGTAGAAATGGCTTTGAGAGGTCTCAAAATCCCACCCGCAATGGCTGCAAAATAGCTCAGAATCCTGTATATGGAAATGGTTGGACGTGTTGGGACAGGCTGAGTAGTTTGGTAATGCGCTTATAAACCCACCTTGAAAACAGAAGGCAGCCACCGCCAATAAGGATGGCAATGGTAACTTTGCCTGCAATCTTAAAGAGCACAGGTGTTTACCTTGCATGCCCTCGCACCATGACCCACACCATCCGCCATGAAAAACACACTTGACATACCCACCAATCAAGTCCCTGCTCCGACGTCCGATGTTCGACGCACCGGCAGCGTCTTCTCTGTGAAACAGAATTGTGAGACAGTCTCTTCGTGCACCCCACACGGGTGGTGCCCCGATTCGAGAAGACATCGTGGGACATCGTGACACATCCGACTTGAACAAGGAACAGTAGGAACCACTTAAGACCTACCAAGAATACTCTCCAAGTAGCATGGAAGTGGAAAACCACCTGTTTGTAGTGATAAATTGTCTTCCAGGGAACGTGGTTTCACTTCCATGATTATTTTAAGGAGTGTACATGTTGTGTGTAGCCAAGCTCAAATTATTCATAGTCAAGTGTCTACAGACCTTCTGGGAAGACCGAGTATATAAGTCTAATATAGTCTAATTACTTTCTTGGGGGGGTGGCATAGGAGTTTTCACACCCAAAACCTATTGGATGAGGCATCCATGCTAAATCTAATTTGGATGAGGCATCCATGCTAAATCGAAATCTACTGCCTGGATGTCTGGCTGGGCTTCTCCTCCAAATTCAGCAGCACACGAACGAACTGCTCGTCTCAGCTCTCAAGTGATTGGAACATGACGACCTCTGCCCGACCCGTCAGAACTTGCTGATTGCGGTGGGCCACACAAACCGTGAGAGCAAGAAAGAGTTGGTGCTACAGTGAAACTGAAAAGTTGTGTTTTAAACTTGAAGAGAAACATCTTCAATTTTGCAACCAAAACCTCTTAGCAAAAGGTGCGGCTGGAGCAGGCTCCCAAAAACATGTTTTGTACCTTGCCGTTGCGACCTCGCTACAGCGACGTTTGGAGGCAACAGTCCAAAAGAGACTCCAGATTGTCTGCAACTTATTGCAAACATCTAATCCTTCTTCAATCTAGGACCCTAGAAGCCCCTATAGAACCAGATTCCGCCCAGGTCTGTCTGAGGTGTGTCTCCATTTTCGGTGCGGCCAAACGCGTCTCGATTCTTCCCACAGACATCGCCCCTCTCAGCTCAGCACCGAGAGAAAAGGGCTCAGAGCAGCGAGAAAGAATCCCCTCAGACTGCGCGCGCTGGAGGGCAAAGGCAAATCCTTGGTGCAGAAGGCCTCAGTGAATTCACACTGCCGACAAGCGTCAAGTAGTACGGCCGCACGCAGTGAATCACTGGCAGACAGTTTGTTGTCACACAGTAAAGTGTCCACCGATGTCCACTGGATGTACTTCCACATCCATGCGGACCTGCAAACCCTGTTCCTTTGCTGAAAGGCAATGTTTCACAATTTGCAATTTCATGTTTGTGAGAGTGCAAACTCCCTCAACAAGATTGCCATCACCTATCCTGTATAATAATATTCTGGTTCGGACTTGGTCCTCGGGGCTGAAAAATACATACTCCAGGCAAGGGGGGTGGATTCCAAACCCAATCGCAGTCTACTCAAGGAATCTCATCAGTATCCTTGGACTTGGGGCTGCGAACAGTTGGGATACACCTGTGATTAGGATCCACATATTCTACTTCATGTCTTCACGGGTCCCCTGGTATGTCATGGTCTATCCGCATCAAACGACCCAAAGCTCACCCTTAACCACTGGAGAGTCACGAGACGTCACACGGTGCCGGTGGTCAACGGTCGGTGCAAATGAGACAATGGCCTTTGCCCTTTGGGTTGCGTATGTTCATAGGGAGATGCCCCTGGCTTGGCTGGGTAGACTGGTCGATTTCCCGAACTGCTTCTATTTGCGGGTCGAACTGGGAGGTCTCCCTAGTTTAAATCACATTTACGACCAGTGCCCCACACTTACGGACCAATGCGAAATGACCACAAGGTGTGAGACACCGACCGGTGAGAGTGGGTGGTCTCCTCGACCGACCGGATGCGAGGAACGTGATCTCGGAAGATCGATCGAATGAGGTAGAAACAGGGGGCCATGCTGTGTTTCTTTCAGGGCAATCCGGAAGAAACCAAATAGGAGAATTCTACAACACACAGGATCACAATTGTCCTGAGGACGAACTCCTCAAACCCTCATGAACTTCTGAAAGTCACGTCAACTCCAAGTGGCCGGGGATTGTGTGCAATCCGCCAGATCTCCACAGGTCGTGGACGCCGAAACCATGAGCTCCTGGGCTCGCTGGGAGCTGTGAAAAAAGCGAAAGCCAGCGATGTTTTGCAGCGCTGGGTAGATGATGCTCTTGAATGCAACAATGCCAACAATGCTAGAGTTATTTGGCAGCATCACCTGCATAGAAAGAGTGAATAAATCATAAATACAGTAGCTCTACCCTTCCTGCAAAGAAACAATCCACTCTAGTTTAGTAGGAAACTCTACACAATGTTAATGTGAATGCCGTATTTAGATCAATGTCCTTCTTTGCAGTCCTTCAAAATATTTAAACTTTTGCATGGTTAGAATACATTAGAATGTTGTGCTTGGGATCCTGCTTGGTTTGTGCCTGGTGTTCAACCTCATATGTGGCTATCAAATGAATCCCCTCCTCTCCAAAGCTCTTATGCATGTTGGGATATGTTGGGATGCCTATCCGATCATGTTTCTTCAATTCCTATCCTTCATGAAGAGATCCCCCTGAAGTCACTATCAACTCCCACATCAACCACATTCTAGGTGGGAAGCCATTGCTATTAGGTTGGAGGCCATTGCCATTGCCATTAGGTGGGAAGTCAGGCCAGCACAGGCCACACAAACCATTGGATCCGTTTTCAAGTCCGGGCTGCTCCAATCCTTCGACCTCATGACTCTGTGACCCCATTTTCCGATGGACGGATGATGAAAAGCGCTGATCAAACCGATGAGGCGGTCGCTGCTCAAACCCCACCTCCAATTGAGGAGTCAAGAGATTGGCGTGCTGCAAGAGCTCCATCTCCATGGTTGCCGGGTTGGCTTCGCACCGAGCATTGGACCAAAGACACTCCTGACTGTCTCCCGGTGGCGACGGGCCCTGTTTCAGGAGGTTCATCGAGTTTTCCGGCAGTATTGGTATTGTGTTGGTATGTATTGGTCAAGGATGAAGCCTTGTGAGGCAAACTCACAGACACACATTGTAGAGGCTCTGCCTCCTCAGAAGTCATTGTCCCCACTAAACCCCCCAAATATCTCCAAATTGTGTGTCCAACACTCTTCCCCCCCCCACAGGTCCAGCACGTTGGACTCTCGCAGTCCATCAAATCTGTCGAACCCTCTCCACCTCTCCTGCAGCCCATAGTTCCGCGCAAGCTCACAACTGCCCACGCTGAGTTCATTGCCTCGGCGGGCGGTTCGAAAGTGGCGCAGACTCCGGGGCGGAGCACGCAGACCACGGAGCTGTGCTAAGCTTGGGAGCTGGCAGCTCCCAGGAACCTGGAAAAAAAGAACATATATAAAATAGTTCCATTAGTAGTCCCCAGAAGAGGGATTCAACCATAGCGAAAATATGGTGAAAATAACACATCACCTCATACGCAACACTGTAGGTGATTTGGGGATGGGTCGTGGGTCCCAATTTGGAGCCCGACTGGTCCACCAGCGAACGACATGGTTGGTAGGTCAATCAAGAGCTTGGTTTTGACCCACAGGATCCCACAGCCATTGAGCGGTCGCCCGAGCCATCAACGATGTGGGTCGCAATCTGAGGTTGGCACAAGCTGATTGCGTGCCAAGGATTGTCCTCGCGAGGAGATGACAACTCAAGCCAACGAAATAACAGCCAACTCGTATGCCATAGCTATGAATCGTTGGTCTCTGTTCATCCTGATAGCCCCAGCTTCAGCAACCCTTGACCCACATCATTAGACCCACATCGCCTCGTTCATTGCGAACATGAACCGAGCCGAAAAGAATCCGAACCGACGCGAGCCGAACGCGCGCGCATCGCTGTCTCCGGCACTGGTACCTGTGACTCTTTCAATCCCTTTACTCGGCCTCAAGCCATTGGATACTCAGGTCGTACTCAACAAACGTCTCAGCAAAAACGAGACAACGAGAACATGTATGTCTCCTCAGTGGGCAATCTTCATCGATCACAGCGAAAAGCGCTTCCAGCATCTTCACCCGGCAGCTCGAGGTATTGGCGTCCCACTGGCAGCCACGACGTCCGCACTCGAGCGCGGAGTGAAGTGCACAGCGCTGCTGGCGGAAAGCCACGCGCATGAGCTCTTCGCGAAAGTCCTGGGAGTGGTCCAAGTGGTCCAAGTGGCGCACCAGTCCGAAGAGTGAGTGACTGGTGAGTCCGTGAGTCAGCCTGATGTAGGTTTGGTGGGTGAAAATCGTGTTGTCTGTCTTTTACCCACAATGAAAGTCTGTACATGTGTGTGTGTGCATTTAGATTGTCTTTAGAGTGGCTGGGGCCAGGTCATAGGGTCTACAGTTTTCGTACTTTGGTTTTGCAAGGAACACCAAAATACCAAAACTGCTATAAACGGCATGTATACTAGGTACTGAAAACAATCACAAAACACTACAATGGTCAGCAAATACAAAATCAACACGAAACACTGTAAAACACAATCTTTTCACACAAAAGGTAGGTGCCGGGGGGGACCATATAAAAATATATATATATGTATATTTATTATATATATATATACGACATTATATTAATAATTTAAAGTTTGGAAGGATGTGGAACGACCGCAATATAAGAAGAAGATGTTCCTGGCCCTGTCCGCTGGCGCTGGTCCTGACGTAGCCGACGGAGCACACTGGCTGGTTCAACGCCGCAAGCATTCCGCACCAGATCCCAGGAGCAAGCAGTTCCATTGTAAAAGCCACAGGAACTCTCATCAAGCTCTATGCAGGTTGCCTCATCCGCCATCATTTGCCCCAGCAAACCACACTTTCCAGCCACACTGGGTGAGGCCGGGCTAGCTAGTTGACGTGCCACCCAGGAAGCACGAAGGCCACAGTCACCCAAAGCATTTGGCGCACACTCGGTGGCGTTGCAGGTGCTGCCAAGCTGTCGACAAGTGAGACTAGTGGCTGCAAGTTGGGCCCAGAGACTTCCTTGACCAAGCCGCTCAAGCAAGCTGGCTGTATAGGCAGAACTCACCTGGGGGTTCAGGTGCTGAAAGAAGGCACCGTCTGATCACTGGAAGCCTTTGCCAGTGGCTTGAACAGTGAACAACTCAATTCAGGATACCTTGGTTGACCCACAGACGAAGGAGAAGCTACGTGTTGTGGGGGCTCCAGGTTTTGACCCCATCCCCATTAGAATCTCCTACGCAAAAGGACTACCAAAGGTTGGTTTCGGGTTGTTTCGTTGACCCATGCTGCCTGGCATTTGCCGGTGCGCGCACCATCGAGCCAACAGAGTGGCTGGCAATCCTGGGCCCAAACTGGGATGATCACCAGCCAAAGCACCCTGACCATGCCTCAGTTGGATCAGTTGGATCAACTCCTTCGACCTCTCCGAGCGCGGAGAGGTCGAAGTGTGCTTGAATGTGCAGGGAATGAGAAGAAGGTCGACCACAGACCTGGTAATGTGCATCAATTCGATGATATCATATTCTGTATATTTCTGTATGATTCTTTGGATTATTTGTTTGTTTTACCGATACCCAGCTGGTACTCATCGCACCAAGATCTGCCCAAGGACTGGCTCCCAAAGGAAGCCAGGGAATCTTTGACGTGTCATCCATACCAAGTAACTGGGCTCACGGGAAACTGGCGACATCCGCTGTCCACTTCATCCCCCCGTAGTGCAAAGAATTGGGCGACTCCGAGGCCAGAAGCCTTGTGTGAGACATTCCAAGACTACTTTCCAAAAACAATCAAGGGCTCTTCCACTTCGACCCTCTGACCGGTGCAACTCGTAGGGTGTCTGAGGGTGACTGGATATGAAGGGACCGCAAGAATCTGCAGATGTGGGGGGGGCATCAGCCACCCTCATCCCCTCATCAGTTGCACCAGTCAGTTGGATGGAAAGGAACACCTGGTGCCCAGCTCCACTTCGCCACGGTGCTGCGCCCGCGGCCATCGGCGCAGAACGCGGCGCAGAACGCGTTCGTCCGTGGAGGACGAGAAAAACCGTGGCTCGAATCAACGCGTTGCGGAACGGCAAAGTGCCCTGCTATGGGGCGAAGTCTTGGGGTTTATCGATCTATCCTTCTTTTTGTTGGTGATCACGTAGATTTTTGGAGACACCCATGACTTAGCAAATGCGAGACTTAAGATCCCGAAGTGTCCAAACTCCCGACGTGTCCCCAAACTGGCAGATACATAAAAGAACATCAAGAACCGTCCCAGGTCAGTCCCAGTCCGTTTCAGTCGCCTCGAGGATCACCTGGCTACCTCGATGACCAACTAAAGCGAAGGCTTGCAGGACGTTGGCCAGGCCTGGCGGCTACCGTCGACACGTCCTCGGGGGATGCGTCTTCGGGAGATGGAGATGCGAAGGGCCATTAGGAGACTCAGTGTGTTGGCTTCGCGATGGTCCCCTAAGCACTCTCTTGGCTTGAGGCCTCAATGGAACATCCAAATATTTGTATGTATATACATTACTGTATGTTTTTTTGTAGGTGGCTTCAAAGGATAGGCGGCCCCACAAACGTTCCTCACAGAAAGTTTTGTCTTAATCCCTAGGGTTCCTGGCCCACCCCTGGCCCATAATCGAAACGGAGGTGATTGGTGTTCAAACGGATGAAAAGCCTTAGAAAAGCCACACAGTCTTGCCGGCGGCTGTGCATCCAAGCGATTTCTGTACACAGGATGGCTGGCGCATGCAATCCCACCACAAGAGAGCAAGATTCCCGAATGGTGCAGGACTGTTGCTGATTTCAACAGAATCATCCTGGAGTAAATAACCCTTCCATGATCAGAAACCATATGTCTTCTTGAGTTGTTGTTCCATTTTATCTAATCTCCACCATCTCCGACCTCACATCCCATGACGGCCCACATTGATACCCCAAGCGAGTCGTCACATGTTAAACGGAGAGTCGTCACTCCCACTTAAATGGACTGATGGACTGAAAAACGGGGAACTGCCAGCCACCTAACTGGATATCCACATCAATATCACTTCACAAATATCTCAGGTATGCCCTCGGAAATGGCTAGCGGCTACCGCCTACATGTCCTTTTGCTTCATATTCTGTAAAGAAAATTCTGCCACCCCCCCAACTCATTCAAATCTCACTAATATTCCACCCTACAAGTACGAACAGCTGCCTGTCCCACAGTCCACTTCCATGTGTTCGGGCTGTTGTACCTATAATGTTGTTTCTTTTCTGAAGCCAACAGTGCATCATCCCTTCAAACCATCAGCCGGATCAAGGGGATCTTCAAAGAAAGGCCAGTGGCGCTATCTGGCGTAAAGTCCTGGTGTCTTTGAGCCTGAGCCCACGATGTCATTGGCGCCCGTGTTTCGGTTTCGGTCGAGTCGGATAGAACAGATCGAACAAAACAAAGATCAAACGATCAAGTAGTGCAAATGTTACCCTGTAAATCCAAACAAACGGACACCTGTTTGCACAGAAAATGTAGTGGACATTCTGTACAAAGGCTCTGTAAATATGCACATATGATCTCATATATCGTCATACCATATTATATCATCCGGTTCAAGCTGAAGTTGCTCGCCAAACTGATACACTGCACTCTTAGGTCTGCACCACATCGCATTTTACAGCCTGGCCAAAGGGAGCTCCAAGCTGGTGCAAACACGTTGGCCGAACGGAACGGATTTGGGCTCGCCCTCGCCATCCCGCTTCACATCCATTCCAGTCCCGCTCTCAAGGACGTCCCCAAACAGTTGCCAGAGCCTGGTGGCTCCCCAAACACCCCGACCCATCCATTGCTTCGCCAAAAGAAGCGCCAACCGCACCGGGGACGCCACCGGCGGTTTTCACACCCAGCAGGTCGTTGGCCTCGAAGAGCTCTTCGGATCGGTAGCGCACGAAGGCGAAGGCCCAAACCAAGAGCGCCACCTGACTGAGCTGGCGCTATAAGCAAAAGACCGATGAGCTGGCGTGTGTGTATGTGTGTGTTTTGTTGTTTTTTTGTGAGAGAAAGATGGACTGGGTGGCCACGACTGGGTGGGCAATCGTTCCGGTCGGGGCCGACGATGTCACGAAGCCGCCGGCAGTTGTGTGAGGGACCTCGTGGTCAGCTGGTCAGCTTGATGTGCTTCAATCGGAAGACTTCAGCTGGCTTTCAGCCACCAAACAACCGGTTACCTTGCATGCGCATATAAGGAGTTGTATTTATATGCTTATTTCATCCCCCTTGTCTGGTGGTAAGTCCTGGCAGCGTGTCCTTTTATAAAAAAAAAAAAACGGCTATGAAATACGTTGGGCATCATTATTCTCTATAAAATGAATAGCCGTCCTTTCTATAAAATGCATAGCCATATCCAGGCCTCTCAAAACCAAAAGGCTACAGATCACAGCTTGGATCTATAAAATGATTTGCCTTGAACCGATACCATAATATCAATTTATAAAATGAGTTGGCCTCAGAATACTGAGACCTTTTTTTGCAGTCATTTAACACAAAACGCTAGGATGTCTATAAAGTGGTTTTGCTGTAGAATCATAGACAATCATCGGGAACCAAAAGTGTGTTTAATCTATTTATGAACTGAGTTGTCTCACTTTGGCATGGTCTTAGCAGCAATATCCTCCTTTCTCCAGTTGATCTTTCTATGAAATGATGTTGTGTAGATTTATGTTCCGATGTCCAAACTCATGTTTTGAATAAAACGACCTGTGTTCAGACCATTTCATAGTGGAAACAAATACGCATTTCATAGAGGATCAATCATGCGGGATCTTATTTCAATTTATGTCATAGAGAGGTACTGAGAGACTTGAGGTTAAGACATCCCAAGACGCCATGTTGAGAAGGTCATCTCCATCTTTGTCGACGTCAAAAAGTCTCTCCTTCAAATCCTAGCCGACAAGATCCGACGTTTGTCGTTAGAAGTGTTTGGTTATGACATTGCTTGCCCTCCCATGAACGACATCTTAGAGCCTACCAGAGGGTTCATGTTGAAACTCTTTGCCAGTTGTCATTTGGTCATGGTTCAAACAAGAATCAGCTCAGCAGCAAAATGCGCGGCTCATGCTTTTGCTTTTCCTGCACAAATCATGGTGACAAAGCGACGTCCTCGCCGACGTCCTAATTCAACTGCAGTCATCCTCGCCCCTGCAGTGACAAACCTTCTTGTTGAAGGTTCCGGAGGTCGTCTTCATGCCATAGACTTGATCTAAGTCATCAAAGTCACCGAGCATTTTGCCACCATAGGCAGTACCAAATGTCCTCACACAGAACTTTTTGTATGCATCTTCATATCCGATGCTCTTGTGCCCAGGCATGGTCGCCTTCCACGGCATTTTCCTGGCACGCCATTGCTTATATTGCTTGAACCGGCCAGCTTTCCACTCTCCTGTGGTTGCCAACTGACATAGCTTTTCCTTACAGGCCCATTTCATCCACTTCGAACCTTTGTTCCAGAACTCGCTCCCCTCTTTGGCTTCGCAGTAGTCGATTTCTTTCGGTTTGTCCATATGTTCCACCACCTTGCTGTGTCGAAAATCAAATGAAAATAAACAACATCATTAGCCGTTAGCATATCTTGCATAACCCCCTTAGCAGATTTACCAACTTCTTAATGGGAAGATCAAACATACTCAAAAAAACATCTCCAGCAAATCCAAGCAACACAGTGCTCGAGCGACATAAGCTTCTCAGAACGTTCGTACAATCTGCCGTAGATGAAGGGGCGCACAAAGCGGCCCGCCTTGTGGAACCACAGGAAATATTCACCACACAACTCCTTCTCGATATTGACCTCGAAGAACCACGTAAACACCCCATCGCTGCTCCTCATCCCTTTCAAATCTGCCGTCAACGACAAGGGGGGGGCTTTCGATCAGAACAGTCAACCTCGTGCTCGTCTGTCAGCTCCATTTGGTTCCTCTCAAAGCGAACTGCTGCCACAAGGCCAAGGATAGAGAGCCAAACCATGGTGGGCATGGCGGGCGGCATATCTAAGATTCTCAGGCGACGGCCGCTAAGGCGAACTTCACAAGTTCTTGCGGGTCGACTGTGAGCGGGTCGATGAAACGAAGAACGACAAACAGTTTCATGATCAGGTCCAGTCATCCATTGGTAAAAGGATGTAAAAAGAACATCACCATCCCAGAAAGAACCGAATCGACAACTCCATTCCTAAATGGCTTTCTAGTCCCAAACGGAAAACATTCCTGCCATTCCCAAACTGGCCAGGGCATCCCTCGATCTTCTCCACCGTCTGCCCCGGCATCATCCGCCTGTTCCGGCTGAAACTCCTCCAGGCGCTTTTTCGCAGAGTTCCCCAGGCCTCTCAAAAAGCCAGCTCGCGGCGACCGACGTGGCATGCTTGGTCTTGAAGCGAGAAGCATCATTGGTGTGGGACGTTCCGCGGGGTGTCCGAGAAAATAGATACACTCCGACTCACTCACACGGAAGTGGATGGCATGGTCCCTTGGAAGACCACTTTCCTTTACGAACAGGGCACACCCCATCCACTTCGATGTGTTCGTCGCGTTCGTGCGACGGACGAGCCAATTCATCGGTTCGGGATCCCAACTAGCCCACTGGAAAGTGGATTGGGACATGTTCGGACCCAGGCATGGTGTTGGTTGGGGAGGCCCGCAGAACTCATGTCCCATCTCAAGCGACGAAGTCAAACTGGCTCATGTCCCATCACGCTTTGGAGAAATGGATACGATAAGCATGCGAAAAGGGAAGAATGGATCAACAAACCAAGTTTGAGCCGGCTCGCCATGATTGGATCTAAGATCTTTGAACATCAAAAGTTGCCACTGCACATGCTGTGTCAACTCCGTTCACGACAAAGACCATCAAAGACCTACGCAAATCTGTCTCCCTGGGGGTTTGGGATCACTCATCCTCACGTGAACCATTGGTCGACCGGAAATGGACCAATCTGGCTCAACATGGAGGTTCTCGACTGGCGAAAAAATGCTGCGCCCCCTGTTTTCTGCCTCTGAAGATTTCTGGGTGCGGGTGCCCAGACATAGCAAAAGCCCAGGTACAGTTCGCAATGTCCTGGGCCCCAAGCGATAGCTTGGCTCCCACCGGAATCCAAATCATCCAACAAAGCATTATCAAGAACTTGTTGTTGGTAAAGGAAGTTCTTCCCAACCGCCATGGCCTTACCCCTGCCGCTTGATCATTTGAACAAAAATCCAATAATCATCCAATAACACTGATTGTTTTTTTGCCTGATGATTGTTGATTATCTGATTGATTGATTGCTTGGTTGCTTGCTTGCTTGGATACTGATTGATCGATACTGATTGATCGATACTGATTGATTGATTGATTGATTGATTGCTTGCTTGCTTGCTTGCTTGATTGATTGATTGATTGATTGATTGATTGAGATCGGGATTGGGATTGGGATTGGGATTGATATTGATATTGCTATTGCTATTGCTATTGCTATTTGCTATTTGCTATTGCTATTGATATTGATCGGTTTATACTGGTTGATATTGATAAATATTGCTTATATTGATTGAGATTGAGTGCTTATGATTGATCTTTGTTGATTAGGATATATTAGGGTTAGGATTGATTATGATAAATTATGATGGATTATGAATTATGATTATTGGTTGGTTGGTTGGTCGGTTGGTCAATTTGGTTGGTTGGTTGGTTGGTCGGTCGGTCGGTGGGTTGGTTGGTTGGTTGGTTGTGTGTCCATGTTCTTTTGGTTTGTGCGTGACCCGGTCTAAACAAGGGCGACCCAGTATGAAAGGAAAACACAAGAAAGACTAAGGAACCAAACACCCTTTCATACCCTTTCCCTTCCGCAGGCAGAGTTGGCCTCCGCCGACCTTTTTCACTGTGGGATGCCCTCGTGGAGCAAGGTCTGGACGAGCTCTGGAAAGACATGGAGGTGTGTTTCACAATGATCTTGAGAATGTCTGAAGATCGTGAATGCATGGATCACGCACCTTCACCCCCCGAATAAACAGCAAGCCTCATTACGTGAAGGGTCTACACTGTTTGTGTCAAAGTACACATAAATAAGAATATGAATCAGTCATGACGCTTTGCACACACTGGCGAATAGAGCTGTCATCAAGTGCAGTGGGCCACGTCTTCTCAGGACAACCAGGCAAACCGATGGTGCTCACAGGCACCTTGCATTGGGCACCACTTGACGGTGTCAACCATACGAGGATACCTGTTGGTCTCCTCTTCCTCCGGGCTCCCATGATTAGAGACTCAATGTCAAGCTTCCAAGGCTCGGTTCGGGACCTTTTACACAAGCGAATATGGGGTGTGACTCGTTTTGAGTTGCATTTGGCATACACAGTCAGTCAAAATGTACAGTCCAACTTTACGTAGTATTGCTATCACTGCACATAAATGTACACCGTTAGCAACGCTGCGTAAAGTTGAGTATGATGTGTATAGATATATAATGTCGTGCTGCTTGACTTTGTTGATTGAACAGCGGCCTGCTTCTATTATCTTCTATTTGTGAAGATTTGCTCAAACATCTTCTGTATCTGACTGTCGGATAGATCCAGCACACTAATCGTCACATCAGTTGTATGGGTTGGAGCATAACGCCTTCATAGCTCCTTGACAACGTGTTGGACACTTTGCTGTGCGATGCAAACCGCAGGGCAGTAGTATACGATAGTTGGACTACCGTCCTAACTAGCCAGCTGGCTAATACGAACCCCTGGGCAGCTAGAGCCGTACCTTGAAGCCGCTGATGTTTGTTTATGCCGGTTCTACCTGGCGATGTTTTACCAAATCTTCAAAAACCCAACGTTTAAAAACAGTCAAGAACGCCTCAAAATGTTGCGTGTTTGCACTCAAGCGCTCACTGCGGTTCTGTGTCCCGACGTGTTTGGCACTCGATCTTCAATCGAACCGTCACCCAAAACCACTGGACGATGCCCTCGACACACGCGGAGTCTTCGCACCTTCGCCTGGTCCCTGGTCCCTTCCCTTCGTGTCCTGAGGCCGCAGGGTCTCACCCGCGCTCGCCAAGACCTGCAAGCTCGGAGTGGCGAAGCGGAATTCGGCGAGCTCGCGGAATGCGGCGCCTGTTGGGCCAACTCTGCTCGGGGGGGCATTTGGGTGGTTTTTGCATGTGGTTGTCGATGTTCATGTTCTGTCCATGAATTGCTGTTCCATGCTTTTCCAAGAGTAAACACTCAAACCGAATCAAACCGACATGACCTTGAACATCCGACTCGCTCGAGATGTCTATCACGGGGGGTGCAACCGGTGGCCTCGGCCGCATCATCGAACAGGTTCGCGCTGAAGACCTGCAAGTCAGGCGGTGAAGACCTCGAATCCTTGATTTACAACGGTGGAAACATGTGGAAATGGTTGCAGGTAACGGAACTCCAACACGTTCGAGTCCCATGGCTCGTGCTCTTGAGTCACTGTTTGGAGCCGTGTGACTGCAACATACGGGCACATGCGCATCTCGGAAGAAAGGAATTCGAACAATACCCAGACACGACCCATGGGACTGGCATATTGACCTACATTGACCCCGACTTCAAGCACCCCTGGCCTGATCGGTAGTCCTATGCCAGTCCCATGGGTCGTGTCTGGAATATATCATGAATCGAACAATACATGACCCTTCTGTTCTTCACCAATCAACCTCAGAACTTCACCGAGAGAAGTAGAGATCTGCCGCTCCATGAGCTAGAAGTAGCCATTTTGTAGCCCCTATCAGAAGGGGCCCTGAAGAGACTGTTGGAGACTTCTTGGGTAGAAATAGGTTCCCTTTCGGGTCGGCACAGAAGACCGAAGGACAGAAGGCGAAGACGCTCCACATCTGACATCACTCATCACTCAGCGACGCTTTGCAGGGCCGGGACTTCCAATGAGTTTCCATGGGCCCCTGAGACCGATCAATTTGGTATATGGGAATGATTTATCATTGGAACCCAGGGTTCTGCGGACCTATCATTGAACCCCTGGAATAATTACAGTAAATAATCAATCCCATATCATTTGATGGGGGTGCTGCGGAAAATCCTCGTGCCCAGATCGAAGTCCGTGATGTCCGTGTATCGATGGGCGCCTTGACCTTGGCGAAGGAGGTGAGGATCGCCACCAAGCTCCTTAGGCGAGAGAAGAACATCCGCTTTGCCATCTTCGAGCCAACCAACTGAAGCAAATCCATTGCCAATGACACGGCCAATGACCTAAAAACCACTCTGTTTCGGACTGAAGTCTTTCGTTCCATCGCACCGGACCGAACCTTCGCACCGGACGACTCCCGGGAAACCTCCCGGTGACGTGCCGGGCGCAGAAACACCGAAAAGACACGTCGGTGTTAACTAAGACTTCCGGGGTCTCCAAATAGATCGTGGCACGGTGTCCACCTTTTTTTTCGTAGGGAATTTACGAACTTCTTTTTATTTGGTGACCACTATACTATGTAAAATGTTCTGAACGACAAGGGAATGTCTTAACCCCGACGATGGCCCATCGTCAAGATGCCTCCCGCGGCCGAGCACGGCAAGAGCCCTGGTGGCCCAGATCACATGGGGCACGCGTTTACGGGCCGGATCTGTGGGTAAAGCATGGTAAAGCCGAGCGTCTCAGACGTCAAACGAGTCTTTCCAGAGACAACGACCTACATGACCGAATTACACTCGGTGTCTCCTCAAAAAAAACGTTTTGCCCCAGTACCAAGGACATCTTTGGATGTTTGAAAGACTGCTCCACCTTTTGCGATGACTGTATCTTCACTGACTTCGTACCGCTTGGGCCGCCCAGTTCACCGAAGGTACCGACTGAGCATCTCAGACGCGGCGAGCCCTTGTTGGTCCACGCGCCGTCAGAAAAGGACCAACGACCCTGACACGTCCCCAAAAAGCCAGTTACTGATACACTCTGACGAAAACGAAAAAGAAATGGAACCGAGTGAAAGACCGGAACTGGATGGAACATGGATGCCCATGGTCCCGAAAGGAAAACGTTTCTTCTCTTCTATTGATCATGACGGGGCTTGCCAATCGCCACTTCGTCCCCGGAGCCCGAACGATCGCGAGGAGAGGTCCAGCGAAGAAGGACCGGCGTTTGTTCTTCCTCCGCCGTTTGTGTGGAAAAGGGTCCTTCACTGAGTCCTGCACTCCCCATCATACCCCTTTTTCATCCTTTTTCCATCTTCCGGATGGGAAAGGACCCTTTTCTTTCAACCGTTTTCCAGGTGCGGCAGAGCCGTGGCACCGGATGTGCTGAACTCACCCGCAGTTGCCGCACCGCCGTGGCACCGGCGACCGGAGCCATCGCTGCCAAGCGGCTCCTTGCTGAAATCAGCAATTCCTCGGCGTTGGAAAAGCATCATCTGCAGAACACAGCGTGAACACTATCTGCAGAACTCGGCGGCACACCATCTCGTAGAATATAGAACACAATGTGTGGTGCAGTGTTTTTCACAACATGTGTCAACATCCAATGCATGATTGATGACGATGGATGGACGATATTCTACATCATCCTGGGGACATCTTCATCAACGAAGACTCTGGTCAACTGATGTCGTCCATAGTACTCTCAGGACTTCAAAAGGTCAAACCCCTGTCCTGATAAGGTATGACTTCCCAACATCGTCAGTGGGGTTTTGGTCGAAGTTGATCGCCTTCCTTTGAAGGAAATGGCGGGATGGCTCGATCGCCAACAAGGTCCCGCCCCTATAAGGCAGTCAGCGCACTGGGCTCGATGGTCTCAACAGCTGCCCTCAGTTGTCCGCTTGGTTCGAAGCAAAAAGGGGGGTCCTTCAAAAGGCTTCTTTGCTCGTCCAATAGGGTGGAGGCCATCGCTACTAGGGTGGAGGCCATTCCCATGAGGTTGGAAGCTATTAGGTTGGAGGCCAATATGCTTTAGTAGGCTGTCACCCAGCGCACTGGAGCAAGAAGTGACCTTCTTGCTCCACCGAAAATGACTGCCAAGTGGCCCTGTCCCGTAAATGGCAGCCCCAAACCAAGGTGTTGGTGAAAAGAATAGAAGAATAACTTAAAAGAATACCCCTACTGGATGATGTATCTTGGGACTGTAACTGATTGGGACTGTAACTGTATCTTGGGATAAGTCTAGGTGTTTGCAAGGTGTTTGCCCATGTCTCCAAGTAGGTCACTTCAACCACCGCTCTTGACCAATTTCCAAACCCGTAGCATACATCTGCGCTGCATAGAGCGACCGCTGATCAGTTGGCACATCCGATTCTCTGTCCCTTCGGCAGGGGAGGTTCCGACGAACCGCACTGAAGAGTTCCAGAACCTCCACCGCCGATTCCATCTGCCGATATACAAGAATATCAACAGCGGCTTGTGGCGGCGGACCCAACCCGGTCCAATATATATACTCATTTATGCTCATCTATTATATATATATACAGTATATGATATACAAGCACCACAGAGTTCGCGTGGTTATTGGATGGAACATATTTAGTCAGGGGTGTCTATAAACCACCCTTTACAGTGGTGCTATTCTATATTTGCATACGTATCTATATACAGTATATATAGTATATTGTAAGCTTGATGTTCACAGGTTGTCGGACCACCTTGGGCAAAAATAGACAAACATTGGCTAAATTGGCTTCAGGACTTCTCTGTGGTAAGCCATGTAGAGGGGAAACGTCCCCTGTCCAACTTGATACGGGAGGACATCACCTTAAGCGGTCACCTCAAACGGATGGTCACCTCCCGAAGATGGTTGAGAACGTCTATTGCAGGTCACTGCCTCGTGGGATAAGATCTTCGTCACGAACAGGGCCCAGGATTTTTGGAGCCTCCACCAATGATAATCCTCTCTGTTGCTTGGGACTAGGCCGCCACAGTCCTTTATCATCTGTTTACACAAAAAGACACCCCAATATACTCAAACGATACAAGAACCCTGTTCTACAAGAATACGGTGAAGACAAAGGGTGAACAAATACCTGCAGAGTTCGGGAAACTCTGGGCCACCACGCCCAAAGAAGGGCCCAGGCTCTTTCATGCCCAAGGAAGCAAAGGCCCAGAGGCAGTTCCTCATCGCTCCACGCTACGGCACGAGTTACAGGAGAGTCACATCGAGAGCCACCATGGTGTCCTTCCAACCAGCCGGTTGGGGTGACTCAAATCCTTTACGATTCACAGATGCACGATCAAATCCGAACATGCAACAGCACAAATACACAGTGAAGAGTCGAGGGGGGCACCATGTCACATGTTTCTTAAAGAAACTCACCAAGGAAATAAACGGGAATAGTATGACAGTAGGGATCAGAGATGGTCAGAGTGTCCTCATTGTTCATCAAGTGACTCACATGATCGGGTGACTCCACACAAACAGTTCCACGGTCAGTTCCACGACCCACGACCCACGCGCGTTCCAACGACTTCCCAGTGGCTGAAGCTGGTGTGGACTAAAATGTGGAAAGCGTGGCTTCACCAGACTGTCCGAAATTCCGGCGACGTGTTGCTCATCGGAGGGCACCGGTGTGGAAAAAAAGAATTTTATGTATCTATAGCGATGGCCTCCACCGTGCTTGGCTTCTTGTTACGAGTAATGGCCTCCAACCAAATAGCGATGGCCTCCACATATATATATATAATATGATAACATTATGTATTCTCCCTAAAGGTAACATGATGTCATTGGTAGATATTGGTAGAGGGATATAACATGGCCAAACACTGTGGATATATAATCCGCTAAAGGATGTTGAAAAGGATGTTGGCACACAGAAGGATGCTCCAAAATGCTTTTCTTCACGACCTTGGAGTGTAGGAAACAAGGTCAACAGCAGCCTGAAGGGTTGGGACGACCTTATCATGATGACATCTCATCACAACGCACGGTCACTGGGTTAGCCAACTCTCCAGGTCCATCTGACTATAGCTGACTTTCCAATCGCCTTCGGAAAAAATTAAACATAAAAAGCAAGCTTCAGGGGTTCAGAGCCCATTGTAAAGCCTAGCACTTGGTGGACTGGTGTGGCCGCCCGCCTAGGTGTGTTTTGGTCACACCTTCACGGTCCAGAACTTCACCAGACTCCTCTTCTCTTCCATTCCGAAAAAATGTCGTCGTTCATGCCTGGCCTGGCAAGGCTAAAGAGCATCTCGTCATTCCGGTAGCCTGGAATCATGGAAGCGGATGGTTTTCATGATTTTCCACTTCCATGATTATTTCAAGCAGTTTTGGAGATGCAGCATCCAACCTGGAGAGCCTCCCTCGCTCTCACCTCCCCTGGCGGTGTCCACGACTAGACCCCAAAAACACCTGGTTGTTGTAGGTCAATTCAACACGATAGCCACCAGTTGACCCACACCTGGACCAGTGTTCCTGGCGAGTCTCCACGACCCACGCCTCTTCATTGACCCACAGGTGTGGCTCCCCAACCGGTCTGGCTGGACCACGGACGTGACCCTTTGGCTCCAGGTCCCGCACGGAGGAGGCCCAAGGCCCAACTGATGGCCGACAGGGTCCACGCCAGCTGAAGCCCTTGGTCCTCGCCATCGTCAGAGGAGTCCTGTCGTTCGACATCGCGTTCTTGCGAGCTCAAGAGGCGGAGGACGGACTTGGCCAATTCGGCCAGCAGGATGGGATTTGGCAAGCGTTGGGCAGAGAAGACACTGCTTTAAAGGATAGATATCTCTAGGAAAAGAACCCTTCCAGCAAAAGATTGGTGCCGCCCGCGCCGCCCTCGGTGCGCGGATCTCTCCTCAGACTCGTCGGCGCGTTCAAAGCCTGAAAGGGTGCAGCGAAGGGCGTTTTGCACGGTGCACAGACCCTTGGAGATGCAAAGAAAGCTCTCACAGTTAAAGATCAAATCACCCAGCTAGAACCAAAGTCGCATTAGTGCAAACGTCGCATTCGAGATCACTGAACACAGCCAGACTGGTGCTTTTACCTGACCCAACCTAATCAGCCTAGTGATGCTAGATGCCGACCCAAATGAAGCACACCTTAAGCATCATCGGGTATAAACTCCACAAAGGAAAAGATAACAACACTCTCAACAATCATCTTCCAAACCCCAAATGCAGGTCCCTTTTCTTGTCCAATGAAGCTGCTGTTCTGAAAACGCCTCCTCTGCGATGCGATTCCGTCAGCACCATACCTTCTACCTTAGGAGCAGGGCTCAGAACGGCCCCTGAAACAAGCCACGAGGCATGTGGGCAAAAGAAGCTGGAGAAGAATCTATCAAATTGGATGGGTTAGATAATGCAAAATACATGTAAACACACAGGTCACAAGTCTTTCTCTCTCTCTCTCTCTCTACAAATATACAACTATTAATAACAATAGTAACAATAATCATAGTAATAGTAGTATAAAACATATGTAATATATATATACATATATAAGTATATATAGATATACTGGATCTCGTGGAAACATCTTCCTTAAACTACTGGAGGCTAGATTGAACTATCAAAGACACCATGAGTTTTTCCTCAGCTGGACAGGTTCCCCTCAACAAACTAGGACTCCATCTAAGGCAATAGCATGTCGGAGAAGGTTGAGGAGCTTCGGGTTGGGCGGCTTCTGCTCCTGCCATTCGCACCAAGCATGTTGAGTGACTGATCTGATCCGCCTGTTAGGATGGGAAGGAGCGACCGCACCCTCCCAACTGGAACTATCTTCAAGATCCTCTTATGGCCGCAGGTCAAAACCAGAAGACCTTGGTTTGACCTACCTGGAAGGTCAAGCTTATATGGTCTGGTTGCTCCAGGTATTGATCCATCATCCCAGAAGCGTTTTGCCCGCAAACCCTCTCAGGTCCCACCACCGAACCCACGCAAACGCAGCAGGAGGACCTCCTCCTTCCTCTTTCTTTCCGCCTGGCGCGGATCCACAAGCATGGACGACTCTAGCGGAACATGGACTCCCACTCCCAACATGTTGTCAAATCCTCCAAAAAGAAAGGGATGCGAAGCGGGGAACCCTCCGCTGGCGCATTGAGGGAGGGTATGTAGGTATGCCAGACTGAGACAAGGGTATACCGGTTCTTTGGATTGCCTTGACCTTCGGTCCAACACTTGAAATCCCAAAATTGTCATGGAATCACAGACACTCCCTGGAACTAACATGGAAGTGGATGGCCTGGCCCCGAGTTCGGAAGACCATGGTTTTCCACTACCAACAGGTGGTGCCATCCACTTCCATGTTAGTTCCGGGGAGAGTGTACGTTCGGTCCAACACTTCCGAACCTCGGTAAGACAAACCATAGACCAACATGGACTACGGATCCAAATCAAGCTTTAACTGGTCAATCCTGAAAAATCATGCAAGTCCAACAGCTTCATGTGGTGAAACATATGGGTCTCTAGCTCAAACAAGGAGACCTCCCAGTTCAACCCCCAGTTCAGGCTCGTTTCCAAACGCACCAGTCAACCCATCAACCCCCGAACACCTCCAGCATCCTCGCCGCGCGGATCAAGGCAAATGCCTGGGATCCCCAGAGACCCCCCCCAGTGCCGATCGGCTCGGCTCTGAAACTCGAGACCGTGGGGAGGTATAGAAACTTCCTGAGCAAACACTCTTTGTTCCTGACATGAAAAAGTCGACATGAGATCGAACCTATCGAACCATCCGTCACCGTCCGGAAGTGCTGTCCCTTAGTGCTGTCACGGGACCATCGGCACGTGTCGGTGCGTAAACCACGACGAAACCACGACGCGTCCCGGGACGGGACGAGAAGACGCCAGCGACGAACGGGGCCGACTCTTCCGAACAGTGTGAGAAGACGCAAGCCGGTTGACAGATTGATGTTTGTCAAGGTCAGAAACAAAGAAATCTCACCAATTCATTTCAACACACATGGAGCACTGTGCGACATGTGGACATTTTCATCGGCATTCATCTCACATCCAATGTGGGTGTGTATGTTCCTTCTTCCCTGTTCCGGACGGTGCGGCTCGGTCTCCCCGGCAGCATTGATGCTGCTCAGCTCTGTCAAGTGCGCGTCGGTGATCTCCAGCAGCTGCTCCAGGTCTCTGGCCGATGCAGCGTCCGCCAGGGATTGGTAAAGCTCCTGCCGTCACCGTCGCGGTCGCCGTCGCGGGCACCGTACGCGGTGGTGCGATCGACCTGCAAAGGCGTCCGGACCCCCCGACCTGATCCGGGAGGGGCGAAAGAGTGTGGGCGATCTGGGTGGTGAAAAACCTCTCTTGGTGGCATGGAGAAGTGCAGAACTTCAAAAAAGGTAGGCAAAGCTGCAGATTGTACTTGATGCCTGCAGCTAAACAAGTACATTGGAAAACTAATGGCTCAATGGCTAAGCCTAAGGACGGTGTCCTTTGGCTTTGGGTGTTCCGAGCAGATCTACACAGTTCTGCTGCGCCATCCGCAGTCATCGGACGGATCCGTCGACGAAGGAGTCTGTTCGTCTGCTGTTCCAAACCATCTCTTGGAACCAAAAAGGTCTCCCCAATTGGAGACAAAACCCATTGTGACTCACTGAATCGGCCAACACATCTGGGTAAATCCGATCCTTTGACGCACTCCACTTGAGTTGAAGTTCCTGTCGGGGATGGCCCTTCTCAGTCGAAGATTGGCTAAGCTTGCGGCCTGATCTTGAACTTTGGGCACCTCAGCCTGAGCGACGCAGAGACATAAAGAAAGCTTGGCACAGCACTCAACTCCGCCCAGAAGCTCGGGATGAAAACCTCCACAGTTTCTGTAACTGCTATCAATCTCCGGTCTGCTGACATGAATTGCAGCTGATTCAGACTGGAGTGCAATTACTTGCAATGATCCAATGTTCTTGCTCGATGGCATTTGTTGTTGACATCGAAATGCTAGATTTGTTGCTCATGTGCCACTCCGTGCCTCCAGGATATCTGACACTGCCCATGAGGCTCCTCCAAAGTCTCGCAAATCCTCCAAGCAACTTCAAAATCAACTGACAAAGAAAAGTGGCTTTAGAATTCCTTAAGGCCTTGTGAATTCATCTCCTCCTATCAAAACTCAAAACATACTCAAACCCATTTTTGGAGTTGCTTAAACAATTATGTTTCTCGAGCTCCATGTGCAGGTCGCAGCTGCCAGACCTGCGATAACTCACCAGCATCATACATGTGCGAGGAGGTCTTTGCACCTGGCAGAGGAAGACGGATGGAGCGAAGGCGGAAGAAGGAGTTGGGTCTAAAGTTCTAAAGGATCGGCATGTCGACAGGTTCCCGAGGTTTGAGACATTCTCGAGATCGATTCGGGATCTGGCGAATTTACCTGGTGAAGGGACTTGAAATGAGTTGGGGGGCCGGGGTACTCCAGCCTCATCTGAAGAACTGTAATTAACGCAAGAAAAACATCTTGGCAATGAACAGTCGTCGACATGGTTGATGTCAATCGCAGAAAACGATCGACAAATGGCAGAATCTCCGTTGTCTCCTATAAACGAGTCAAAACGGTCTTCCGGTCCTGATTTCTCTCCCGAAGGAGCTACACCACTTGCATGGCTTTGACAATCAGAGTTGATTTCCAGCAAGTTGTGAAGTGGAGACAAGGAAAATCGTGACCACCTTCACCGGTGGAACAAGCCGATTCCGATACAAATGAACTTTTGGTCTTCGTGAAGTCAAATGCAGGAAACCAGGTCTTCTTCATCGACCTTGTGGGGCATCCGAAAAAGGTCTCAGCTGAGCTCTTTTCACGCATCTGTCCAACTGCTGTCGTCGCTGATCAGAGCGAAAAGCAGGCGAAAATGGCCCGCATTAAAGTGGTGGACGATGGTATGGTACAGCCATGGCGTCAGGGTGGCACCATGGAATTAAGTCCTTTTACACTTGGAAGATGGAACTAGTGGCAGCCATTGTGAAATTGTTGATCTCCATTTTCCTTCTCATAGTTGCCTCGGAAAACAGTCAAACACTGATGGAACGAAACACGATCATCAAAAACACAACGGATCTCTTCCCGTCAACGGCCAGTGCGGGTTTGTGTTCTTTTAAGCAAAGCATGTCCGTTGGACATCCGTTCGGTTCGGCGGCCTCCGTTCCCCGGCTCCAACTTTTGATAGATCCTCATCTTATTGGCTCCATCCTTGGTGGCTCCATCTACGATCCAGTGGCGGTCAGTGACTAAGTCTTCAGGTCAGTGATGTGTCTGAAAAATCCTAGTTTTGCTTGTATCATATGGATGACCTCCATGTTGGGTCATGTTCAAGTTACCATCTCTATCTCAAATTTCAAGTGAATTTGGAACACGAAGAGCTTTAACTTGGTGTGTATGTCAGAACACGGTAAACTGTGATGTTCAGAACACCGCCTTGGTGTTGAAAGCCACAGCTTCGCCCCAATGAAATGGATTAATTTTAACACTTGTGGCCCAGAGGGGGGTGGCGAAAGCTAGGCAAATAAACAACGCTGGGGCTCTTTAGGCAGCAAAAGCCAATACGACCCCAACACAGCCAACACATGGCAACACACAACCACCCCAGCAACCGCCGCAGCAGCAGCAGCAACAGCCACAACAACAATGAATGTAACCAGCAGCGGCAGCGGCACTACCAAGCAGCAGCAGAAGCAGCAGCAGGAGTAGCTAGCAAGCAGCAGCACCAGCTACCAACAAGCAGCAGCAGCAGCAGCAGCAGCAGGAGCAGCTACCAAGCAGCAGCAGCAGCAGCTGCTACCAAGCAGCAGCAGTTACCAAGCAGCAGCAGCAGCAGCAGCAGCAGCTACCAAGCAACAGAGGCATCAGCTACCAAGCAGGAGCATCAGCAGCAGCTACCAAGCAGCAGCAGCAGCAGCAGCAGCATCAGCAGGAGCCACCAAGCAGCAGCAGCATCAGCAGCAGCTACCAAGCAGCAGCAGCAGCAGCAGCAGCAGCAGCCAAGCAGCAGCAGCAGCAGCAGCAGCCAAGCAGCAGCCAAGCAGCAGCAGCAGCAGCAGCAGCAGCCAAGCAGCAGCAGCCAAGCAGCAGCAGCAGCAGCCAAGCAGCAGCAGCCAAGCAGCCAAGCAGCAGCCCAGCAGCAGCAGCCAAGCCAGCAAAGCAGCAGCAAAGCAGCAGCAGCAAAGGCAGCAGCAGCAGCAAAGGCAGCAGTAGCAGCAAAGGCAGCAGCAGCAGCAGCAGCAGCAAAGGCAGCAGTAGCAGCAAAGGCAGCAGCAGCAGCAAAGGCAGCAGCAGCAGCAAAGGCAGCAGCTACCAAGCAGCAGCAGCAGCAGCAGCAGCAGCTACCAAGCAGCAGCAGCAGCAGCAGCTACCAAGCAGCAGGAGCAGCTACCAAGCAGCAGCAGCAGCCAAGCAGCAGCAGCCAAGCAGCAGCAGCAGGAGCAGCAGCAGGAGCAGCAGCCGCAGCAGCAGCAGCAAAGCAGCAGCAGCAAAGCAGCAGCAAAGCAGCAGCAAAGCAGCAGCAGCAAAGCAGCAGCAAGGCAGCAAAGCAGCAGCAGCAAAGCAGCAGCAGCCAAGCAGCAGCAGCAAATCAGCAGGAAATCAGCAGCAAAGCAGCAGCAGCAAAGCAGCAGCAAAGCAGCAGCAGCAGCAAAGGCAGCCGCAGCAGCAGAGGCAGCAGCAGCAGCAGAGGCAGCAGCAGCAGCAGCAGCAGAGGCAGCAGCAGCAGCAGCAGCAGCAGCTACCAAGCAGCAGCAGCAGCAGCAGCAGCAGCAGCAGCCGCGGCAGCAGCAGCAGCAGCAGCAAAGCAGCAGCAGCAAATCAGCAGCGAAGCAGCAGCAGCAGCAAAGCAGCAGCAGCAGCAGCAAAGGCGGTAGCAGCAGCAAAGGCAGCAGCAGCAGCAGCAGCAAAGGCAGCAGCAGCAGCAAAGGCAGCAGCAGCAGCAAAGGCAGCAGCAGCAGCTACCAAGCAGCAGCAGCAGCAGCTACCAAGCAGCAGCAGCAGCCACCAAGCAGCAGCAGCTACCGAGCAGCAGCAGCATCAACAGCAGCTACCAAGCAGCAGGCAGCTACCAAGCAGCAGCAGCAGCCACCAAGCAGCAGCAGCAGCAGCTACCGAGCAGCAGCAGCAGCTACCAAGCAGCAGCAGCAGCAGCAGCAGCAGCAGCTACCAAGCAGCAGCTACCAAGCAGCAGCAGCAGGAGCAGCTACCAAGCAGCAGCAGCAGCAGCTACTAAGCAGCAGCTACCAAGCAGCAGCTACCAAGCAGCAGCTACCAAGCAGCAGCAGCGGCAGCCGCAGGGAAAGAGTGAGCTTTCCTGAGAGTCTTTCGTGCACCAACATTTGGTCTCAAACAACAGCACATATAGGTGCTGCCTGAGTAATTGTAGAAGGGCGACGTGGAAAGACAGATCTATCTGATATATGTTTGTTCACGAATTAATGCTGACGATGCAGCCAGCAGCGGTGTGCATGATTGACATCTAGGGGTTGTATGCGAACATGTGTCAGCGACCGAAGACTCCGTCGCAACGCTTGTGCATGCTCCCTGTCGCTTGAACATGGAACGCGGACTACCATGAGTGAAGCAAACAGCCCGTTCAAACATCTTACTGGGTTCTGTCATTCATGTGTGAAGTAAGTATCATCTTTTGATCTGCATGGATAGCGGATAGTGCATTCTGATTTGTACTGTTGGGTTGTGGGGTGGGTACATGCCTGTACAAGCTTCTTAAGGATATGATGAAATTAGCATCGTTTCACGACTCAGAGGGAATGCAACTACTCTCGATTCTAACGAATAGGCTTTCTTCAGCACCAACAGCAGCCAACAACCCCAAAGAGCAACAGCAGCAAAACGGAGCAGACAACAAGCAGCAGGCAGCCATGCAAGCAGCAAGCAGCAGCAACCAGCAAGCAGCCAAGAGCATCCAGCAGCACCAAGCATGCAAGCAGCAAGCAGCAGCAACCAGCAAGAAGCCAAGAGCCAGGCGCAGATGAGATGCCAGCAGCAGCAGCAGCAGCGACCAAGCAGCAGCAGCAGCAGCAGGTACCGAGGAGGAGAAGGGTGGAGTTGAACCCCGCGAGGGGGGGGGGTGTAGTCCTGATATATCAGGTACTGGCACTCAAGTCCTGGGCTCCCACCCTCCTTGCTAAAGCAAGACAGACTCCAGCTAGCTACAGCTAGCTTTCGTGACAAACGTTTGGCAATCCAATCTCTCCTGGTGTGCCGGCTTTCTCCAACCCATCATCCCTGTAACCATCATCCCTGTAACCATCATCCCTGTGACCCTGTCCTTGTCACATCTGCGCCTCCGACGGCCACCGTCATAGCCTCTGACATAGGTCTGCTGCCAATAGCGCCTCCGACGGCGGCCCTGGTTCAGGAAACTGCCAGCAGAAGAGCTTTGGAAGCAAACCTGGAGCCCAGGGATGGACCAACTGATGGACTGCTGATGGACCGATGAACCGAACGCTTCGAACGCGTGGATCAGTCCACGGCTGGTTGAACAGTCCGCGGCTGGTTGGTCGCGTTTTGGCGTTCGTTTTGGCGTCCTCTGTGCATCGATAGAGGACTGAGCTCGAATCTTTAAGCCAACAAGGAGGCCTTGAGTATGGGACCTATCCCTATGATATTCTATTTTCATTGATTGAGGGCGGAACTCGTCGTCTGCTTTCTTTCTGAAAACACGCATTGGAGTCAACTGTCGCCCACCCCGAACCTGCCCTCACGCCCACCCCGGCCTGCCCGTACGGGCCAGTGACACCATCGAAAGCGATCCGAAACCTCTCGGTGCTTTTCTTGGCAATATGGATTCGCGTCGGAGAATTCGAAAACACCACCGTCTGATCGATCAGGCGAATGCATTTGGGATTGTTGTCTGGATCGCTGATATCAGCGAAATACATGTTGTTGAGGTACTCGTTGCAAAGGAATTTATCTTTGGTGAAGTACCAAAAGCTCTTCATCTGCTCAGCATAACTGCTTGACGTGTGGGTGCATTCGTCGAAGGCAGGTCGGCAATCTCGCCAATAGACCTCCGGGCGGATGGGACTGACGCACTGCGAGGGGCACAAACTGTAACTTGAGGTGCCAAGACCCAGAGAGCCTTCTGCACCAAGGATGAAGCGCTTCGAGACCCAGAGCAGAAGATTTGGGGGGAAGACCGCATACACATAGAAGCTACTAGGTGGAGGCCACCGCTATTAGGTTGGAGGCCATCACGATTAGGTTGGAGGCCATTACTACTACATATATATATATTATATATATAGTAACAAGAAGCTACTAGCAGCTCAGGCAACACTCTATATAGTCCGAAAAGATTATCACTTTGCAAGAGAGCTTAAACCAAAAATTCCAGGACTCTTGAGCCTGGGCTAGAACATAAAACCTACACTCCTTCGGAGACGTTCAGACAACCACGGATGTGGAAGATAGGCTCCTGAAAGACCTTTCTTCTACAAAGGGGTTGTGCTCAGCTTCCATGATTCGTTTGAGGGAGGGTAGACTATAAAAACGAGGGACGTTCATCCCATAGACTATTCTCTTCCTGTCAGGTTCATTGGGGAGTACACTATGACTTGTCTAAAGCCACCTGGCCGCCGTGTAGCGTTGCAGACCCGAGACTCGTGGCCCGGCGACCTGACCTCGCTAGCGATTGACACCGAGAAGACCCGTGCTTCGTCGCGTGCTTCGAAGCAAACCTTCCCACGAAACACCCGATCGACCGAGTGAATCGCATGGGAAAAGTGAGGCCTTACCAGAAGAATCTGGCTCAAAGCAATCCTCGGTGCAGTGGTGCAGGCGATACAGCAAGGTGGTACCACAAGGACCAGTTAGACTCAAGATGAATGGTTCAACTCAGTCCAACTCTAGTCTTCTGGTACGAGCAGTAGGTGTTCAGTTGTAAATCAGAATCAACCCAGCACAGGATAGATGGAAAGAAACCACTGATGGGTCGCTATTGGTTTGTCATTCCTGTTTCAAGCAGGTTGCCTCATGCAGGTCGAGTTTCGAGACGAAACGGGAGACGAAACAGCGAGGCTCTGGGCCTCGTGTTGTGTTTTCCCTCTTGTTCTTTCCCTATGCCGAAGAATCTGAAGAATCTGAAGACGAAATGGTGAAACTCAGACCAGTTTTTGTTGGCCCAGTCTCTGGTGAGACCATAAAGCATCGATCCTGCTCGTTCTTGATGACATACTCTGTGCCATCTCCACAGCTGGAAGGACTTCCACCCGACTTACCACATTTGCCGCCCAGCAGGTTGGAGAGCTTGCACTTGATCTGCGCATGTGGAGCCGCTCTGGAACGTCCCTGTGGGTTTAGCACCCAGACTGCTATGTCTGAAGCACAGACTGAGAAAGTAACCCAAACGTGCGCGTTTTCTCATGTCTTTTTCCGAGAAAGTGTGGGTGCTTATTATATTGGCTTAAACTCAACGTGTAGCCGCGCTCTTTTTGACACTTGCAACGGAATGAATGGAACAGGGATAAACGTACGTGAGTACATAGATCCGAAAATGATCCATGTCGTGTGGGTAGTGGGGTGCTGAACAAGACTGCTGGCATTCTTGATGGCTGCGAAGATGATGTTGTTCGGGTGGAGGTAGCAGCTTCAAAAAAGACATGATGTGTTTCAAGTGAATATATATATGGGATGGGAGACGAAGGGGCAAACGTGAGAAAGGGCAGTTACATGCCAAATGTGGTGTCCCTGTGCCATGGGGATTTGCTGTCAGAAGGAGCGACAAAAAAGACCTTCCCATGGGTATTGCCTCCCCAGAAAAGCAAGAATTATATACAGTATAATATATAACTATAATGGTTAACGGCTATAGCCTTTCTTTAAACCAGTGCAGTACGTGGAAGCAGTAACATTTGACCGCTACTCGTGTGGAGAAACTGTGGAGAAATTATGTGCACTTCTTCAGCAAGTTAAGAAATCGCTGGGATGGTTGTCCATGTGTTCCAACGCCCATAAATTATAGCTGCTGAGAAACCCTGTATGGAATATAGATCTTGACATATAGTTTTAATACGTTTTAAATGAGAATCTCAGTGTTTGAGAATCTCAGTGTTTTTTGAATGCATGACCTTTAAAGTAAACCATCATCAGCTACTCAACTCTGGACAATGATTCATGAACGCTAACCTCTTCAACCCCACTCCTTGTTGGCCACTTTCTTGCCCTTGTTCACCACGCTCTTGGCAAATTTGGCGCCATTACCCCCCACATTCTCCTTGAAAAAGGTTGCCACTTCTTGTGCTCCGCTGCCTGCAAAGTTGTTGATCTTGTTCACAACATACCTCGAGGAAATGACCCTCCCAATGAAACACTGCACAGTACCAGGAATATGAATATCACCTGGCTGCTATGAATGCTGCTTGAGGGAAGTGCAACATGCAAATAGAAACCCTGAATCATCAAGAGAGAATCATGCAAGAAACGTGTTTCACAATGGAGATGGTTGGGGAGAAAGATCATTACACAAACACATACTCTTCCAAGTGTTCAAACATCACCGATGTTTTTCCGAATTCCAGGTGTCTTGGCACGTGACGTTTCAGGTCCCTCTGCCCTCCAATGTCAGTTCGAACCAACGACGATGACATCTACGGTCCGGAACTCTTGGACTCCACCTGAGAAAGGCATATGTTCATTCACCAAGTAGAGATCCAACACAGTCGCGGTTGATGTTTTTCATTGTTTTTCTATGCTCCACTGCTCAACATGAGCTGTGACTTGGACAGATTCGCAAGAAGCTATTTAAGAGCAAATGGCAAAACTAGGGGTCGTTGGGTGAGAAGATTTAAGGCAGGCATCGCTTTTTCAATCCATTGGCATTTTTTGGGGGCAGGTATCGTCTAAATGTAAATTGCTCTGGAAGGTGATCTTGCAAATGATGACTAGTAGAAGTAGTAGTAGTAGTAGTAGCAGCAGCAGCAGTAGTAGCAGCAGCAGCAGGAGTAGTAGTAGTAGTAGTAGTAGTAGTAGATGTTGTAGTAGTAGTAGCAGCAGCAGCAGCAGTAGTAGCAGCAGCAGCAGGAGTAGTAGTAGTAGTAGTGGTGGTAGTAGTAGTACTAGTAGAGCAGTAGCAGTAGCAGCAGCAGCAGCAGTAGTGGTAGTGGTAGTGGTAGTGGTAGTAGTGGTGGTGGTAGTGGTGGTTGTAGTAGTAGCGGTGGTGGTGGTGGTGCTAGAAGTAATAGCAGAAGTAGAAGTAGTGGCAGTAGTAGTGGCATGAAGGTGGCCAGGTGGTTTCTGAGGCGATACAGACCTATGATGTGGGTATTGTGTGGTATCGTTTTTGGTATCGGTCTAAACCCATAATTGCTTCCCATCGAAGAAAGAAAATGGAAAATGAGCAAAAACAAAATGGAATGTCCAACTAGCATGGCGAACCATATACAAAAAAAACCTTGGACATACACTGTCTCGAGTGTCAACAGCATCAATAAGCAAAGATAGAGTCCAAGATATGTACCGTCACAAGGCTAGGTATCGTTTTTGGGATTGGTCTCGTTTTTTCAAGGAAAATGCAAATTGTTCATTCTTGTGGAAACGTGAGTGCCGACCTTTAATACTTTGCTCCTGTGTCTTTCTATGCTTGACACCTTTTTTTAGTTCCCCGTGCTGAGCATGCTTCTCCTGGACTCCCCATCCATCCCCCACCCCATCCGACCGAACAATCCAGGGCACTTGCCGGACTGCAGAAACAGCTCGGCCCAGCCGAGGCGAGCCTTGCACTTCAACTTCTGATTCCCGAACCTCGGTTCGTCGCCATAGCGTGGGAAAAAGTGGAGGACGTGGCCATGGCTGGGTGGATGGTGGATGGCTCGGTGTTCGGTTTGGAAGGTTTGGCAGATCTTTCAGGATGGATTTGAGGAAACCACAGATTAAGCTATGGCTGAAGGGGACGGATGAATTCCAATCGAAAAATACAGTATCAGTCAGTGGTTTCACAGAAACACAGATTGAATGTAGATGATGTAGAAAAGCGTACGGCTGCCTAGCCACATCCGGACAAATCTCGCTACAATCGCACCCAGTTCATTGGTGTCATTTGTCTTCTTGGGTTTCTCTCTTCAAAAGCGGTCAAGAGATGTCTCTTCGTCTGAATGACCTCATGACCGTCCCTTGTTTCGCTCCCAACGATCCACAACGGCGGTCCGTGGGCCAGATTAGTCAAAGCGGTGCCGGGTCACTTGAAAGCGCAGCGCACCGTAGTAGCGGAGTTGCCCACATTCACCGTGGTGATGAAGCCCAATCCAGCAGTATTGACGAAGAAGCCAATTCCTAAAGACATGAAGAAACCAGTGATGCTGGGCAAGAGATTCTGGGCTGGCTGGTTCATCCAAGTTGTCAGACTCATAGCTTCATAGCAAATAGTTAATTAACTAGAGTAAACAGCTCCGCTTGGATAGTTTTGTCTAAAACAGGCATCCTTCAGAAACCTAAGGGGAAGGAAATTGCCAGGCCTGGACAAGTCTAGTTTGGTCGTTTCATGGAGATTCCATCCTGCTTGCTATATACGAAAAAAGTTTGCATACACACTTAGATCGATGCTCGCAAGAGCTGTATCAGTTGCGACATTCCCGTGTGCTAGTTACTGAATACTTAGCACTCTAGTTACTGAATACCTAGCACTTGACTCGACAAACGGAAAGGTGGCAGGTCAGTGTACTTGTAGGTGCTTGAACAAGGTCGGAAACAAATTTAATTACGGAATCGCTTCAAGCAGGGTAGACAATGGCTAGAAAAGAAAATGACGTTTCCAGTTTGTAGCTAGGGGGCGAGACTTGGGAATCGCCCCATTAGAGTAGGGAAGGGTCAACAGAAGGAAAGGAACCGACGCAGAAGTCCGCCGAGAACCATTTCCTTCTGTTGCCCTGAATAGCAGTGCAGGTACGTGGAAATGGCGTCCCATTTCCATATCCTCGGATACATCGCCAGCTTCGTTGACCATGCGACGATGTATCCTGCCTGGTCCCCTGCTTTTATGTACATTGGAGTTCCTTTGGAGCAGGTGTTGACACACACACACACACACACACTCACTGGAACGTGACATGGCATAGATCTTCGATTTTGGGATTCACCCTTTAGTTACTATAGTTGTTTTTTTGATGCTACGGATATCTTGGATACCCCCTCACTGGTCACAAAAGAATCAACAAAGTTTGGAAACCAAGCATTCCGAAACGATCTCACTAACCCATACTAATCCACCAAAGCAGTAGCACGTTTGCTGCAACTGCACTGCTTCAGCTTCTGCCCTGCTTCAGCCCCATTCAGCCCATCCTTCACTCGCCCCCCCGTGAACTCGCCCCCCCGTTCGCCCCCGTTCGCCATACCACGCCTTGGTTGGCAGTCAAGGAGATGCCGCTGTCCACGTTCACCCCAATGACATCCAACAGGCCCCCAACCTGCAGATCTCTGCCATCCGTTGGGGTCCACCGCTCGCCGGTCGCTCGAACCGGAGCGGTCCGACATCCCCCGAGCGACGGTCAGCTCGGTCAGCTCGGTCTATTTCGATTCTCCGGTCGTCTCGACCGGCTCGTCGGCGCCCCAGGTCGTCGGACCCAGAGCGGCTGCACCAGTAGGGCTGTCCAGAGGGCTGTCGGACCCAGGTCTATTCAGTAGGGAAGAACCAGGGTGAAGCATCGACTCAGAAGGCTGTCCGGCTGTCCGACATGACGAAGAGGTGCTCTCCGCGGTGCTGTCCGAATGGTGAAGCATGTGGAAAAGACCTTTCAAATAAGACAGAGGTGACCTGCCAGGCCAGCTGGGTTCTCAGTTGGAATGGTGGGGATCTGGGCCTCCCACTAAAGCATCCATTGGGCATTCCTGGTTTGAGTCGTGGCTCACTTCTAGAAAAGAAAGAGGAGCGTGAAAAACCTCCAACATCCGTGGCGGATTTCTTCTTGGTCTCAAGACCCGAAAGGAAAAATGACGGCTGCCGCGTCTGGCGTGTGAACTTGTGGTTCTTGAAGTTCAGTTAAAGCAGTCTTCAAAGTAGAGACATTTGGTTTTGGACCAGTGATCACGAAATCACCCCGAAGAGCTGCCTGCCCCAAGACCGTCCGGACGATGGTCTGCACGAAGGAGCCTGGAGAGATCTCTCCAATAATGCATGAGAGTCAGTGGCAGAAATTGGGTGTGTATTTAAATACGTTCCCCAACCCAAGGTGTGATACATCGCACTGAAAACGATCAAGGCAATGGATCCTTTGACTCTCTTGAAGGTCAAATTATATATCTTTGTGGTATTTTTTGGGAATGCGCTCTGGTGGAATGTTCTAATGTTCCCTCCAGCCATATTATCAAACATGTTGAGAATATAGATTGCTAATTTTGCCCTGCAACCCGATTCAAAAACAGCCTGTTGGAGATCGTAGGGAAAGGCCATCAGAAATGGAGAATGCAGAAGAAATGCCGTGCGACGAAGCAACGAAGCTCACAGAGCAACGATCTCTGGGCTTCGAAGAGACGCCGTTGGTATCAGCGGTAGAACCGCAGGCAGAGAGCAGTGATCCCTAAAGCGGAGGCAACGTGAAAGTGTATGCTACACGATAGGGCATCAACTGCTCCTTCAAGGCTAAAGGCGCATCTCAGGAGGACTCGCATGGCCTAGCTTCTATATCTTGAAACTTCCACCCACCGGCTCTGCTGGAGATTAATATCTATATTACTTGTTATGCAAATGTTGTGGTTTCTCCAGTAATGTGTAGATCTTCAAGCTCTGCATCCCCATCTGATTCATGCAATGCCGTTCCAACTTCCAACCTACCACAAATGCAAACAAAATGATATTGTAACCTACACCACTCCCGTCATCACGTCTCCTTGCACATCTCCTGCCTAGGTCTGATGAGAGATAAAAATACATCCCAGGCAAATGCGATTCAGCCACGTTGGTATCCTCACGCTGATGTCAGCCAAGGCTTTCAGAAGGGGAAATTGGAACCACCAAGCCTAGACTACTGTAGAGTGGTCCACGACTGTACTAGATCCAATCAATGTCCAACACATTCTTAAAAAGAGAGCTTCTTTACAATGTACATCTGAGGTTCACTTGCATCTCTGCGAGATGCTTTTCTCAAGCAGGTCTCGGTGTGTGCGGACTCTGGTCAGGCATTTCGAAGATGTCCAACGAAGCCACGTTTGCAGCAACAGGGAGAGAAGTGAGATATGAAGGCACATTCCAAGCGAACTGGGGCACATTGAGACGACACTTTGCTTTTTGGAGAACCTACCCACAAAGTTGGTGTTTGCATCTTTTTTGCCCAGTTCGTAGATCCCCCATGATCCCCCTTCTGGAAAGTAGTGGTCTAGAGTCTAGGGTGTTATTCTCCACTTCTGTCTGTGATTCAGGCATCCAGAATCCCGTGCCACATTCAAACACCGTCGTCACGTACATGTCCGTCCTCATTGCTGCTTGCTGGTCCACTCCTCAACATGAGATTCACCTGAGAAAAACAAGAGCACGTAACCCAAGGAAACAATTGGCTGGAATTGAAGAATTGGCTTAGATCTGGGAATGATTCAGAAGAAAGGCAGGCCAACATTTCACGGACTCCAGACAGGTATTCGCTGCCCAACACAGCAGGAAAACGGCAGAACTGGAGGTCCCTCCACCCACACAATCGGTAGATACCCTCCCCCTCTCCCCCTCCCAAACATGTCCGAGGAACACAATTGACTAGTATGCACATCCAAATTTGGAGGCCAACAAATCCCTTTTCCAACGTGAATCCGACCTAATCAGAAAGCAATCAAGCTATATATGCCGAAAGCAATAAAGCTAAGGCTCTGCATACCCCCTGCGGCTCTCCCGCCCCAAAAACACACGGTCTGTCGCCACGTCGCCTGGGTGAGTTGGAAGGACATGTCTGGCAAGATCCCATTGGAGACTCCACTGAGCGCAAAGGTCACATAGCCGGTGACACTCTGCACCAGGGTGGCTCGTTGCATGCCTTCCACCAGGCTCACCACCTCGCGGGAAGGCCGGTTGAAGTGGGAATACACAAGTCTGGGATACTCGCTGATGGGATGTGTTAGCTAAAACTGTGCGAAGCCTAGGGGTGTGGTTGTAGGTGATGTTTTGAATGCGAAGGCGTGGTCGGAGTGAGTTCATGTTGCGTTCACTGACTCGTGGGTCAACGTTCAAAAATAAAGAAACTGTATGAAACAGTCAGCTCTTGTCAGTATGAAGATAAATGAACATTTACTGTAGTTGACTAGTTGGGTGTTCGAAGGAACACACCCACACTGATCCCGAATGTCAGCAATCATTGTTTGTTTCCCAAAGTTGTTTGTTGGCGTCACCAAGTCGCAGTTGTGGAGCACAACGCTGTAACTTTGGGCCCTAAAATGCCAAATCTGGCTCAGGGACCAAAGATGGTCCCTGCAATCCTGTGCTTCAAACTCCTTCAGCTCGCGCCTGGGAGGACGCGCCCGCCTGCCGCAAACCAGCGGCCGCCGCGGCCGGGCCCACGTAGTAAGCAGAGGCGGCACCGCCCAGGAGGTCTGGTAGGGAATCGCCCAGGTCACTACTGGAGAGCCTCAGGGTCCAGCGTTGTTTCGCGATTTTGCGGCAGCTCTTGTTCCCCCTCCTGGGCAAATTAGCAGCCTACTAGACTGATTGAAAACAAAATAATAGTCCGTTTCGTGGATCAGTCAGTTTCTTGGAACCTTCATAGCTGCACTGATTCGGGGTGAGTCAGGGAACATAGCTTCTTCGGTCCAAAAAGAAGTTTTAATTCGGGCCTTAGATCGGTATGGCCCACGAAAATGGTCATGTTCTACGTCGGGAATCATCCAATTTTGAGGGCTCAAGAAGTGAAAGAGCCATACCCATGTGGCGGTGCGATGCTGTGACACTAGAGGTTCCAGAATCTGGATAAGTACTGGCACCACTACTATCTGAAAATCTGGAAACTATTGCTGCCCAGCAGGTTTCAAAGACGACTTCTTTCTGAGAAGCTCGGTGCCGGCATCCCCAATCACAACCAAACGACCAGACCCAACGACTCGACCGAGGCATAGCGGAGACCCCTCGGTGACCCTGCTGGTTTCTTTTGATGCCTTTTTCCCTGACCTCTCGGTGACCCGAGACGAGACGAGACGAGTGACCTTCAGTTCCCGAACCCAGCGACCAGTTGAGCGCACTCACCACATTCTCACTGCCATCAAAGCCCAGCGCCACCTCGGTTCTGTGGTCGGTCGGACGTAGCGTGGAACCGGCAGGTTCGGACGTATGCATCCAAAAATGGAGGTGTTGCAATCCAAATGGGGGGAAATGGAGGGGGTTAGTTAAGAACCTAATACAATATAAGATAATACAAAATACATATATATTTATATTGTATTTGCATATTGAACAAGAATCTACATTACAACCAGAGTCAAAAAGGATGCAAGGTCGCTTCTTTGAATCAATAAATTCCCTTAGGACAAAGGGTGTCGTCTGTCCTCTGAGGGATCTCAAGGCGGGGTCCGGGACCATCGCCCTTGAGATCACACATAATACTCGTCTAATTGATTTCTAGACTATATCAATACTCTTGATATATCCGCCGACCCCTGCTCTGGCGAAGGCAGGGGCGGCGCCTGGGACCACCGAAGGTGTCGAACCTTCGCTTTTGTCAAGGGCTGCTCCAAAACCTCGCACTTGCTAGACTGTGGGCTCTGGGCTCTATGCGGGACTGTGGGCGGAGTTGCGCAGAC